CATGGAATACAGGAATATGTACTAATTGATTGGGACTTTCCTCTACTTCACAGGATGTGAACATTGTCCGAGGTTGCCAAACCAGATGAAAGAACAGGGAAAGACATTGAGCTCACTGCCAAAGATTGTTATTCTGCGAAGATATATCTCATCTCTAATTATAGTATTTCGTAGTGTCATGCTGATTATATAGTTCATCTTTGGCCTTGCACCGTGGTTGTGGTAATATTTGTTGTTTTTTCCTACCTGTACAGTTTAGGTCGGGTTTGATCATCTCCCCAGTACCCCATGCCTGGCTCCCTTAATGTTCATATTCCACATTTCCTTTTTCACTAACCAGTCTCTCCAGTCTGACCTATGCGTTTGTGTTAATGTGTCAACAAACTTAATTTATTTGAAAACTAGACATTGCATTTCAAAATTCGTTACAGTATAAAGAACAAGAAATCCATCATTGCAAAGATGACAAATATATAACAAAAGCATGCACTGAACTATTCCGATTGTTTTTTTTAGAATAACAAACTCATGAGTTGGTTCAGGTAGATATGCGACTATGTCATCGACATCGATATAACAATATATATTCATTGGTCCATTTCAAACAATCAGAATATATACTTATGTGAAGCAGAGAGGGCACCATGGCGAAGGTGAGGTGGGCATCATCCAGTTTTAAAGGGGAGGGCTCCAGCAAGAAATGTACTGCTACGGCGAGAAACCGAGCTGGAAAGGGAGCGTCCAGCAGAAAAATGGCAGGGTGCGTCAGGGGGTGGCATTTTGCAGAATGGTCTGGGGAGGTTCGCAACATTGTCTACTCATCTGATGGGAAAATCTCTATCTGTTGCGTATCGTGTGACTATAGAACTGATGCAGAGGTGCCCTTCTTTGCTTGGGAGTTTGAATCCGGTTTGGCTCTCACCGATCTTGCCTGCTCAGTTTTTGAGTGTATAACCAGTTTGTAGGTCCTACTATTTGATCAGTGGATGCGACTGATGGGGGCATGGAGATGATGGCGAGGCATCGTGTTGTGGTGGCGGTGATGAAGGTAACCTCGTCGATGGCGGCGGCGACGGGTGGCTGTTGACGAAAGCGATTCGGGGATGGGGGATGTGGAGTGGCAAGGGATGGAGGCGTAGAACTGCAGCCGGGGAGACGGAGTGGCGGCAAGATTGGACGAGCTCGCCTGCGGAGTGCGTGGGCAAGATTTCCCTTTCCGGGTCAAACGAGGGCTTCCTTCTGTGTGTATGTGTTTGTGTGTGTGCGCGCACACACATGCGTGAGTTCACACTGATATTCCACTAAGTACAGCGCATGCTTAACTGAAATTCTAGACAAAAGTTCACATCCGGTTGGTACATGTAAGAAGCTCATTTCTAATTTATCAGGTGGCATAAATAGACCATAAAATTATCTTCATTTATAGTGCTAAAGATATGCCAATACATTTTCTTACGTTTAGGGTCCTAAACCTGTTGAATGAATTCTATATACAAGACTTACAGTTGTCCTTCTATAAATTAAGACTGAATTTGCTAATCTTTGTTGTATTGCTATTGATGAGTCTATAATTGTCAACCTTGACAGTAACAAAACTCAAGATAGTTTTATCTCTTAGTGTGAGCAAATAAGATTTTTTAAGAGCTTTCCTTTGGAATATTTTTCTATTACAGAAGTTGATGCTCGATATTTTTATCCATTCCTGATATCATTTCTTGATCTACTACATCATTAACAAGAGCTTGGGATTGCTTCAGGGATTCTACGGATGTTCTCCCATAACCTCTTGAAGTGATGCAATGCGACGATCTTCAACCATGAAAATGAAACTGCCAGCGTGGACGGAAACTGCCAGCATGGACGGCCTACTCCTATGATCTCACAGGTACCAAAATGCAGCTCGTAAATCTCTTGGTAAGAATTGGGTCTTGATGTCCTTACATTTAGCTACTCCTGTATAGCTTTTAGGTTTAAGATTTTTTTTCTCTTTGTAGATTTTGTTTTTTGTTTTGCTCACCTTGTAATCAACTCTATATTTGATGGTTTAGAAATCAGTTTAGGTGCCTTGAAATGAATTCGGTTTAACTCTGCAATTAACCGTCAATAATATACTGTTCTGATTGTGCTTAATAATATAGCTTGTTGTGTCAAGGAGCATGTGGTGAGGGAGAGAGAGAAAGGGAAAATGGAAGCCAAGTGATAGACAAAGAAAACGGAGGATAGGAGACCGACAATAACTTGTGTTCTCTTACTAACGCTTTATTTATTGAAGACACGTACCAATGCACGGGTATTTGTCGATGTATGACAAAAACCAGATGCCATCATGCTTAACACATATTACTGAATTAAAAGAATAATTTGATCATTGTGTCTATATTTTATTATTCTGTTTCAACTGGCGTTTGGCTTCAACCCGTAGCAGTGCACGAGCATCCTCCATCCAGGCGGCACTCCCTCTAGCGTTTCCCACCTAGGCGGCGCTCGATGGCTGGATTGCACGCAACGGTGCTTGCAGGTTCCCCGATGCAGTGTGCAATGGCGGGCGCCTGTAGGTTCCCCGATGCAATGCTTGCTCGTGCCGCCCCTCTGACGCTAGGCACGGCGGCGCTCCACCCATGTGTTATGGCGCCATGCAGAGGATGTGGCGGGGGTGGATGCCCTGGCCGGCCTCGGTGGCTATACCAACACCTCTTTGTTTGAAATGGAGTAGCAGCCACAAATTTTGTGTCCGTTTGGGTCAATGCATTAGAGTTGGCCTAAAATAGTGCATGTGACCAAGGAGGAATTTAGGGTGACATGGGTGAGACGCTTGGCTAATGGAGCTGCTCATCTGCTAGCGAACCATGGTTGTGCAAATAAGTTATGTAAAACTTGGGTTAGGTACCTGCCGGATTGTATGCGTCATTTTTTGGACTCCGGTTGTGCTGAGATGAATGAATAAAACATGAACTCATTCCGACTAAAAAAATCAATTTTTTTAGTTGTCAATAACATTGTTATGTTTGATACTAAGATGTTAGTTAGCTGATTGTCCAAAAAGAAGATGTGTTAGCTGAGATGGCATTGTCTGCGAGTAGCATCTTAATTTTAGTTGTTTATCAAAAGCTCATGGCAATGCACGGGCGTTCTACTAGGATTAAAATTTCATAACTTACCACCATTTCCTAAAAGTAGAACTGGGCAGCATTAGCCAACCACATGGGAGAATGTTTCAAACAAATAATTAAACTGACAGTAGCTACCGAATTGGGATTACTAGCACGCTGAGGATAAACACTTTACATGTTGCGACCCCTACTTTTATTTAGTTCTTCCACGCTTTAGTTCTTGCAATGAGGGATCCATGTTCTGTTTTAGAAAGAATGCAAAAATTTGGGCCACTGTGATACTTCATCATTTTGTCATGTTGTTTTGCTGCAAGGAAATATATACATCAATTTGGCTTGCATTTTAACGTGCTTGCTCCTGTTTTTGATGCATTTTTATTCTGTTAATTTATAGGTTCTTGCTTACACTGGGAATGATGAGGCTAACAAGTTTTTCCTTGGAGGTGAGATGTCACTTGACAACACGAAGGTAACTGTCTGGAAATTCGGGACCAGTTAGAACTAAAATCATATGAGTTTATCAGTCTAGCTAATAGTTCATTTTATGCTAATGGTTTAGCATGGCTGAGTCATATGTGTTTACTTCACTTATTAATAAGAATTATTTTCTCTTGCCAGCTTCAGCTGCAGCAGCGTCTTGCCTGCGTCATATATTTTGTATTATGTTTTTGTGGGCATGGTTCTGAACTTTGGCATCGATGGATAGAATTTCGTCCAAACTATAATGTTGTTGTTCAAGTGTAGGATAATTCGTTTTGATGTCTCTGTTGTGTGTGCGCGGGCATGTGCCAAAGGCGTCTAATAGAACCCAGGTGAAGGCGAAGGAGGTTTGGCTCTCAGACATGTGTAACACTCGATGATAACAACGTGCAGACTGTAAGTTATGTTTCTCCCTATTTGATTCAAGCTTGAAATATTCATAGATGCTACACTTTATTCAGTAGATGAACAAAAAAAGTGGCACTGATCTTTTAGTCAGTTTTATGTCAATGACCATAACTTCTGGGGTAGCAAGAGTAGCACATTTTGCCAACATTTTCAAGTTTGTATGAATAAGGATGAAGTAGTATTTCATGGGTTATCCCTGATTTCCCCTCTTAGGTGAATATCTAAGCTAAAGATAGTTGGTTGTGTAATTTAGATATCACCTTAGCAACCGCCAACGTACATCTGCTGTTGTTGTTGATTTATTATTATTACTGGTTTCTCATACATAGACAACAATAATTCTAGAATATCATCATCCAATTCTGAGCAAATAGGTTTTAGTACTGTCTCTACTTGTGTGTTGGTTGCCTAATACCATCTACCAAAATGTAGTTAGTAGTTACCTGTGTGACATAATTGCCTTGTTGATGCCGACTGATATGTGATAATTTGTAGTAGAATGTCCAGTAAACACATAGACATGTATAAGGTGGCATATGTATTTCTTACCTATTTTCTTTATTTTATCATTATAAGGAAAATATGGATCCCAATTTCAAAGCCATATCCAATTAGTTTGTCTCTCAAAAAAATACAACAAATGCTAAAGGATGATTTACCCATGGAGGCATGGACCGAGATTGCTTTAATTTGGTCGTACAGAAGATTATGTTTGATGACATCCAAATGGCACAAAAAACAAAACAATTGATAGACAAACATTATCTCGACATGAAATTTTGGGTATGTTTTTAATTCATTATATATTTTTTCTATATTCTAATTTTTTAATCACCTTTCCAACCAATTATTTCATATACTGATTTTTAATTGTTTTGGCTGGAGACTTGCTTGCTGGTGGCTGGTGCCCTGCAGGGACCAGGTGGTGCCGTCGGCTGCGGCGCCGCCGCCACCGTCGTTGCAGCAGCTAGGCCGGGAGTAGCCGAGCAGGGAAGAAGCATAATTGTTTTCTATATTCTGCTCCTCCCACCGACCAGTTGAGGGTTGGAGTCATCGGACAGCGCCGTCAGGCGTCAGCTAAGTTAAAGAATTGAGAATTGGACGACTGGCCGGTTTGTACGGCTGCTCTTAGTGCTCTGCCGATTTGGCCTTCGGATTGTTGCCTGCTTAACTGCTTGTGGGATGTATAAGCACAAAAAACAGTTCAAAAAATTACAAATGAAATATAATATTTCAAAAAAAATGTTCATCACCATAAAAATGATAATTTTTTAAAAATATTCTCGAATTTTTTATTTAAAATACACCTCATAATAAAAATATTTGTGCTTTCTGAACAACCAAAAAAAATACTTTCATCTGATGAAATGAAAGTGCATAGCTGAAATAGGTATGACGAACATTGTTAGGGTACGACCAAATTTCATGGTCCAAAAAAATCATAGTTAAAAAAGGCGCGCCTAGATTCTAGGCGTTGGCAAATACTCAGTGTAATCTTATTTTTGACGTTTGCAAAAGTAGGACTAAAAAGTGTTGAATAATGGCACATGGAGCAGGTTTTAATTTTTTGCCCCGAGATCTCCACTCGTCTCCTTTCATTCATTTTTTCTTTCCTTTTCCTGGTCGCTGGGGTCAAAGGGTATGCAAAACTTAATTAGGCACTGTAGAGTTGGCTGTGCGATAGATGCAAAACTTAATTAGGCACTGTAAAGTTGGCTGTGCGATAGGGGAAATGACTTTGATGCTTAGCTCAGACGTTTGCTTAGTATGCTTAGAGTTGGCTGTTTGCTTAGTATGCTTAGGGATTGATGTGGTTCATGTTTTGTCTGTACCGCCCTATTTTGGTGTTAGGTTGATTTTCCATCAGACATGTCGAGCTGTTGTCGCTGGTTTATGATGCATTGGCTTGCTGTAGGCTGGGTGCACAAGATTTTGTAGACCAAAACATGTCAAAATTTAATTCGGACGGGTCTTCTGCAAATAATTTTCATCTTCAAACATGCCTTGAGTAGATTATTTAATCATTTTATAAGAATCAATTTAACTTTGTATTGTTGCAGCTTCATTATATATGCACTTACCAGTGCATCTAAAGGTTCAACAATGCAAAAACCACCATCAGTCTTGGCTAGATTGACATCAGAAGAAAGATGATGGTGAATCATGAACCACGTATAATCCTCAGCCTAGATTGCATGCTCTTTATTTTAAAAATCTTCCTTTAATGGCTGTCAAAATGGTATGCGCAAGCAAGAACCGCAGTATCAATGCGAAGACTTGAGGTAGAAGGTAGTATTATTGAGCTTACAAGTTACTCCATCCGTCCCAAAGTAAGTGACTCAAAAATGAGTCAGCTTTGTACTAACTTTAGTATAAAATTTAGTCACTTTTGAGTCATTTATTTTGGGACGGGGGGAGTACATTTTTTTGTGTGTAACATAGTTCTTTTATAGTAAAATTGGATCTCTCTATTTGGTATGGCTTTCTAAATGGCATTCGGTGTAACCTGCCAAATCTCTCCCATGCATGAATGATTTTTTAAAGTATAGTATCCAAATGATTCACCCATGACATGTTCTTGAAATTGATTTGTACTACTGATTATTTAAAACACGAGTGTTAAATTTTGTAGTATGAAAATATGCTAATGATGCCGAGAGAAGAGAGCATGCGTACAATCCATGAACATGATGTACAACAAGAGATGGTATGATTTCTTCGGAGAACCATCTTGATTCTTCTTTTTTTCTTCATAATATTGCTAACCATTGAGATTGTGGTGCGGAAGGTCGCGGGCGCTAGAGATTGTGGCACGGTTTAGAGGGTTGGCCGGCGGCGGAGGCGGCGACTCGGGTAGGGGGCGATGAGCAAAATATTTCAAAAGCCCGTGGCAACGCACGGGCATTATACTAGTTTTGCTAATGGTTGACATTTTTCCGTTTTTCAGATTTTTGCTGCGATCCCGTGGGCGCACAGGTGCAGTGCTGTGAGGGCTGAACATGTAGTGCGCTGGCGCCGGCTTGCATTTCACGGACAAAATTGTGGATTTATTTTTGAGGTCCCTCGTCATTGTAATTTGTATGTATTTGTACTATGGCTTATAAACAGCAGCATTGCAGCCCCGACTCGTAGCCCATAGACGCACCAAACACAACTCTCCCAAAAAACGTGCATTGAAGAAAACAAACAATACTTTTTTTTGAAATGCAGCTCACTTGCTTGATCGCGACGGTGATCTTCTTTTTCCTAGAGGTTCACTATGTTCCCAAAGTGCATTTTTTGTTGGAAAAAGGTTGATTTTTCTATGCAGCTCACTCTGTTGTTGTGTGCAGCAGAAAAAAGTTGGAAGAAATATTAATGCAGTACACTTGCAGGATGATTTTTTTATGCAGCTCACTCTGTTAAAAAGTTGGAAGAAATATTAATGCAGTACACTTGCCTCGTTTCAGTAGTCATGTAGCATTCATAAAAAAATGAGAAGAAGAAAAAAAATGAAAAATAATAATGCAATTCACTAACCTCAACAGTGTATACTTACAAAAGCATTTTGCAAAAAAAAGCAGTACGCTAGCCTCGATAATTCAGTTTGAACGTATTTATAAAAAAGTAGTTTGAAAGCGACAAAAAACCCCATTCAGTCCACTTTGATTTGTGTAGCCGTTCACTTTCTCCCTGATCTGCACTGCACTCATCCCATGAGGTACCATGTGTTTTGTGTTTCATTATTTTTTTAGGAAAAGGATAGAAAAAATCTTGAAGTTCACTTACCTGTCTTATGCAGTGCAGTTTTTCATATGAAGCAGTGTGGTCGGCCGTATGATGTTGTTCATCACGTAAGTGCAAAAAAATTGTTACGGAAGCAAAAAAAAGTAATGCGGTTCACTTTGATTGTGTTGTGGTTCATCTACACCCGATGTGAAGTGCACTCTACTTTCTCGTCCTTAAAAAAAAATTACATTTGAATAAAATAAATCATGCAGTTCTCTAACACGTCTGATGCAGTGCGGTTTTTCGTCCGATGCAGTGCGGTTTTGAGTCAGATGAAGTACCCACGTCGATTTGGGTGTTGCGAAAAACAGAGTGTCCGCATTTCGGTAAATTTAAAACTGCTCCTAAACCGTAAGGAATTAGAGAGAGTGTTCTACATGAAAAAGTTGCGTCTCGTCGATATCTTTCCAACGGCATATCATTTGAATCATTCCGACAATCGGTTTGTAAAAATTTCACGAAAAACGACCGCTGCCTCTCGTCGTCCGCCGCACGATTTTCCAAATTAACTTAAAACTATAAGGAATCTCAAAACCATTTCTACATATGAAATTTGCGCCTTGTCCATAGCTTTCCAACGACGTATTACACGCCTCGTTTCAACAAAACGGTCCAAAAACTAGAGCAAAAATAGTACCAAAAATTACAAAATAAAAAAAAAACAAAATTCCGTGATTTAGTAAATTTGAAACTGCTCTTAAACCGTAACGAATTAGAGAAAACAATAGTTATGAAAAAGATGCGCCTCGACAATATCTATCCAATGGTGTATCATTTGCCTCATTCCGACATGCGGTTTAGAAAAAAGCGAAAAAATGCTCGCTGCCACTCTTTGTGGGCCGCACCGTTTTTGAAACTGCTCTTAAACCACGGGGAATCTCGAAAAGTGTTCAACATGGCGAAGTTGCGCCTAATCCGTAGCTTTCCAATGGTATATTACATGCCTCGTTCCGATAAACGGTTAAAAATTAGAGCGAAAACAAAACCGAAAAAACACTACGCGCAGTTTTTTCCGACACGAAGTTCACTAGTCTCTGTAATGCAGTGCTCTTGCTAAAGAAAGTTCAGTGCCCTCGCGTTGAGCATGCAGTGCGGAAGTGTTATCAGAATAATCATTCTGATAATATTATCAGAATAGACA